TGATCTTACCCCCAGGACATATTTGCTATTGTCTGGAGATACTGTTTGTTTATTTCTGACAAGGACTCAGTATATAGCCCAGACTCGACTCCAACTCACAGCAGTCTTCCTGAGTGCTGAAGACTCAGGCATGAGCCACTGTGCCCAGCTTAGAAAAACTTGATTGCCAGAAGGAAGGTACATTAGTTCTTTTGCTCATACCTGTGACCAAAATCTGAAAGAAAGCAACTTATGGAAGGAATGGTTTATTTTGGCTCACAGCTTGAGAGGTTGGAGTCCATCCTGGTGGTGGGAATGTGAGGTAGCTGGTCATCTTGTATCTGCAGTCAGGAAGCAGGGAGTGAAGGCTAGTACTCAGCTAGCCTTCTCCTTTTCCGTTTTTAGTCCCTCAGGGATCCCAACCTATGGTGTGGTACTGCCCATATCGAGGGTGGGTCTTCCCTCTTCCTTTAAACCTTTCCACAGCTCCCTCAGAGATAGGCCCACAGCTTTGTATCCTAGATAATTCTAAATCCAGTCATGTTGACAAAATTAACTGTCACAGGGAGTTCCTGGCCACTAGTGGACAAGAAGCCAGGACTAGTCCTCACCAAAAAGGAGGATCTGGCCCTAAAATGTCAGTAGTGCCCCAACTGAGAAGCCATGATCTGTGATAGACCTTTAAATCTTATATCCCAGTGTAATGCTAGGAAAGATGAGCCCAAGGCAAGGGGTAAATGTATTTACCAGACCAGACTTGTAATAAAAAATACATGCATGGTACCCAGGGGTGGTGGCACACGCCTCTAATCCCAGTGCTCAGGAGACAAAAGCAAGGGAATCTCTGTGAATTCAAGGCCAGCCCAATCTACATAGTGAGCTCCAGGCTAGCCAGAGGTACATAGCAAAAGACTGTCTTTAAAAAAAAAAAAAAAAAAAAAAAAAAAGGAACATACACAGTAGATAGAAACATTGTAGATTTTCAGAGGGATTGCCTCCCTTCCCTGCCTTGAAGGAGAATAGGGTCTTTTTATAACAGGTAAGATAAGTTATTTTATCTCCTGAGCCATTCATGTGCAGCATTTGAATAGATAAGAGATAAGCTCCCTATCTTGTTAAACAGTAAATTCTATAGCACCATTTCACCTTCCTGGGACTGGCCACTTGGGGTGAGTACTGGAGGTCACTGGGAGGTAGGCTCTGATTTTTTGCACAAAACATCACATGGCACTGGGTCAGGCTCCGGGCAGTCAGGATCTGTGTTTTATTTTTGGCCTTCTCCTCTCCATACCCAAGGCCTTTAGGCATCCCTGAACTTATCAGTGCTTCTTAGACTACTTAATTCTCTCATGAAGTTTTTGCCTAAACAGTATCACTTTCTTAAGGTTTTTTGTTTTCTGATTTCCACTGTGAAAAGTCTTACCAGTACCATTTTTCTTAAACTTCTAATCCCTTCTTAATGTTACTTCTTATAGGACAGATGAAAGCCCAGAACAAAGCTACAAGGGGTCCAGAGGTCAGACGGTCAACTGGGTCTTGTGTTGGTTAGCCTCAGTTGTCAGCTTGACACACCTAGGAAGGGGGAACCTCAACTGGGGAATTTCCTCTAAGGCCTGTGGGCATGTCTGTGAGGCATTTTCTTGACTGTTGAGTGATGTGAGAGGACCCAGCCCACTGTGGGCATGGGCAGTGAGCACAGGCCAGGAGAGCAAGCCAGTAAAAACATTCCTTTGTGGTCTGTGCTCAGTTCCTGCCTCCAGGATCCTGCCTTGAGTTCCTACCCTGGCTCCCCTCAGTGATGGATAGACCATTTGCTCCCCAAGTTACTGTTGGTTGGTATTTTTACCGCAGCAGTAGAAGCAAACCAGAACAGGTCTGTTCTGTTAGTCCCCTGCTTAAAACCCTCCAAAACTTCCACACGGGCCTTCTGTGCCCTCTACTGCTTAGTTCACTGTGCCTCAGCCATTATGGCCTCCCGAAAACTCTAGGAACACCTGTAGGAATGTAATGTTAGAATGCAGCTGCTGTTCTGGCCACAATACCTGCAGAGACCTTTCCCCTCACAGAGGTAAGGACAGGCACCTAAGACATTGAAACTCTCTAGCTAACTGACTTCCAGGTGCCAGGGTCTTTGACCTGGGAAAGTGAGTTTGCATCAAAGGGGCTACACTGATGTCCACACATCTTGCTCCATACCCCCTTCCCTGCCTCCTATCTGGGAACCAGAGCCTGACTGTTGGCTGTGCTGTGGTCTCCCCCTTCCTCAAAGCTATAAAAGACCCTCGACTTGGGCCATGTGGGCCCTGATTCTTCTCTTCAGAGCCCCACCATGCTGTTGTCTATCTGTCTGCCAATGGTATTAATAACTTTTTAAATATATCCCTTACTCCCCAACAGTGTGTCTCAGTGATCCCTTGAGCCCTATAGCCAAGACTTCTCTCCACCCGTACCTCTCTCACTGTAAGCCTTTGTACTTCTGTTGCCTATGATTTTTGTACACTATTTATTTCTTTATGATTTTTAAAACATTTTTATTGAATATTTGTGTGTTTCATACAGAATATCTTAACATCTTTATATCCCCTTCCCGATTAACTTCCTCCCCTAGCCCCTCCCACTGGAATTCATACATTCTATCATTTGTGTTAAGGCCTATCTTGTCAAGTTAGTGTCCCCAGATGTCCTTTTAGTGCAGGTTCATCCGCTGAGGTCTAGTCAGCCTATCTAGAGTCCCTCCCTTTAAGAAGATCAGCTCTTCCTCACCCAGCAGTCATCAGCTGCCAGTAATTCTCCAACTAAGATTGGGGCCTGCTGCTTTATGATAAACATTCTTATTGTGCATGTATGATGGGAGGGGAGCATGTCCATGACACAGCTTGTGTGTGGAGGTCAGAGGGCAGCTTGGTGGAGCTGGCTCTCTCCTTCCACCTTTGTGTGGGTTCAGGGGTCAGACTCAGAGTATGAACACTTTTACCTGTTGAGCCATCTCACCAGCCCATGTGTTTGACAGAGTCTCACTGTGAAGCAGCCTGGCCAGACCCATGACCCTCCTACCTTAGCCTCCCACGTGCTGGATTGGGCCACCATACCCAGCAGAGCACCTTTTATTTAAAGTACCTTTCAATTATCCCTTGCCTCAAGGCCAAGATTCTTCAGTCCATTTCTCTTAAGCTGTAACTCCTGTTTCTGTTCTTTCTCTCTCCTCCTCCTTGGGTGATAGTTTTATCAGATGAAGGGGTGTTTCTGTCTACTTCCATTGTATCCCCAGCTCCAGGTCCCTGGCTCAGTCCACAGGAGGCTCAGCAGTTGCCAAATAGTGAGGGAATGAGCAAAACCGCTAAGTAATCTATTTGAGCCAGGCACACACTAGCCTCAAAGTGCTGGTGATGAAATTGATTCCAGCCGAGGTAAAAGTTGTTAGAGACACTCATGGTCACTGTGAAAAAAGCCCAACTTCCAATTTAGAAGGCCAGAGGTGGGCAGTCATGCCAAGATAACTGAGCAGAGTCTGGTGAAGTCAGCCGAGTTGAATTTTTTGATGTGTGAATTCACACATATAATTTATTTTATGTTTATCTTTTTATATTTTATTTTTTATTATTTGGGGGGGTCTTTTTAAGACAGGGTCTCCCTGTAGCCCCAGCTAACCTAGAACTCACCATGTAGACCAGGCTGGCCTTGAACTCACAGAGCTCCATCTGCCTCTGCCTCCTAAGTGCTGGGATTAAAGGTAGGCACCACCATGCCCGGCCTATTATTTTTATTTTATGTGTATGAGTGTTTTGCCTCATGTGTGTAAGTATACCTGTGTCATGCAGTGCCCACAGAGGTCAGAAGAGGGCATTGGAGTCCCCGGGAATGGAGTCATAGATGATTGTTAGCCACCATGTGGGTGCTGGGAATCGAACCTGAGTCCTCTGCAAGAGCATCCAATGCTCTTAATCACTGAGCCATCTTTCCAACCCCTATTTTTATTTATTTTTTTAAATTTGTATATGTATGAGTGTTTTGCCTGCATATATGTTATAGTACCATATGTGTGCAGTGCCTACAGAGACCAGAAGAGGTAATCAGATCTCCTGGAACTGGTATTACAGCTGTTAGCTACCATGTGGATGCTGGGAACTGAACTCCAGGTCCTCTGCTGTAGCAGCAAGTGCTCTTAACTGCTGAGTCATCTCTTCAGCCCTTATTTTTTAATTATTTATTTATTGTGTGTGTGTGTGTGTGCGCGCGCATGTGTGCGTGCAGTTATGTGGGTAGAGGTCAGAGGACATCTTGGAGGAGTCAGTCCTCTCCTGCCACTGTGCGGGTCCAGGGATTGAACTCAGGTCATCAGGCCTAGCAGCAGCAAGTATATTTACCCATGGAATCTTGTCAGCCCTAGTTCCGTTTTTGTTTTTTTGTTGGTTTTTTTTTTAACTTCTGAGTCAAGTGTGACTATATTTGACTATAGTCCTAGGACTTGGGAATGTGAGACAGGAGGAGTGCAGTGGGTTTGAGGCTAGCCTGGGCTACATAGTACTAGGTCACTCAGAGCTGCATAGCAAGACCTTGTCTTAAAACAGAAACATAATCCTGAAGTTAGTTGGTTTAGAGAAGAGGATGTAGCTAAGGGTGTGGATTTTGGTGCCTCAAAGGACAATGGCAGGATTGGTGTAGAGAGGAAGATGGAGTCACAGGATCAGTAGTCTCCAAGAAGTTTCTTGCTGTCTTCAGGAAGCCCCAGCAGGGTTGAGCAGAGGACAGCTGGTATGACACAGCTCTGGACAGTCTGAAACAATGACAGCAGAAACTGACAAGAACTGAGATCTCAGGGCTGTCTTTCTCCGGTGTTGATGTCTGCAGAACCTGGCTCCTCGGGACTCAGATGTCCTTTTCCTCCTTGCATGTTTCCCTGGTAGGGCCTAGGAAGGCCTCCAGAGTTGTCCTGTCACTCACGGTTGTCCTTAGGAGCCATTGAGGGGAGATGGAAGAGGGGCATTCCTTCCCAGTCTGAATGCTGGTTCTCTCGGTTGCAGGTTGGGCTGGTGTACATGTTTAACCTCATTGTGGGTACAGGTGCGCTCACCATGCCCAAGGCCTTTGCCACCGCTGGGTGGCTCGTCAGCCTCATCCTGCTGGTGTTCCTGGGCTTCATGAGGTAAGAGCTACAGGAAGCTGCTCTGTGGGAGCTGGGATGGAGCAGGAGAGAGTTCATCCAGGAATTCAGAGCCTGACTGTCTCTTAATTATTGACAGAGCTCTTGAGAGGTAGGAAGACAGCTGTCTTTCATACATGTGGGTGAGTCCTAAGCTGGGAGGCCCAGAGAAAGGAAAATGGACCCAAAGGTCTCCAGGGCCTTGTGCTGACAGAGCAGTTTCACAACCCTGAGCAGTTAAGCCCCTGCACCAGAGAAGGCCTCGGGGTGTTTCAGGAGGTGCTGGGCTAGTCCTGCAGACTCACCCTCCCTCCTAGGCACATCATCATTTTAACCATCAGTTCTTGCTCTTCAAGAAAACAGCACATAGCCATAGAAGAGGGATCTAGTACATGTGAAGGTGGTTGGGGTTATCAGTTTGGAATTTAGAATTTGTTTAAAATAATTCAACACGTGAGTGATAAGCACACAAGTACATGCATTCATACACTGTATGTGCACACGTGAACATGCACATACAAATAAATGCATATACATACAGAGACTGTCAGTTATTGAGGGACCTGCCTTGTAACACCCCACCCTACCCTTCAGGAGCACTTATTCTGTGAGCCTGATGTTGGAGGGTTGGACAGCTTCAGGGTAGACAGAACCACCTCTCAGGGCAGTCATTTCACAAGTGGCCCAAGCTATGAAAGTATTTAGAACAAGGCATGTCCATCCCCTTCCACCAGGTAGGAATCCATGTTGAAGTGCTGGTGTACACTTGTAATCCCAGCACTCAGGAGGTCAAGGTAGGAGGATCAAGAGTTCAAAGTCACCCTCAGCTACATAACAAATAAAAAGTGGGAAGGAATACTTGGACGCCTCCAGGGAGTCCCTTTCCTGAGAGAGGCAGCACCCTTCTACACCAGACACCATCCCCACAAAGCAAGGACCCTTGCCCCATGGACTTGACTGCATCTTACTGGGAGCAGTTGGAGTAGGGAAGGTGACCCATGAATAAATTTTAGAGCAAGCTGCGGGGAAGGCGGGTTGGGGGCTGGTGCCCCCAAAATGAGAAAGGAAGAAAGGACAAAGCAGGGCAGGGAAAGGGCACTGGGGCGGGGAGGGGACTGAAGGGCTAAGCAGGGGACTAGAACGTGGGGGTATGCCAGATCAAAGGCTTGAGGAGAAGGGAGTAAGCACCCTAGAAAGAATTAAAGCTAAATTGTTGATGCAAACACCCAAAAGAGGCTCACAGGAGAGGCGAGCACCTAGGGTCTTCGGTTTCTCTGTGCACTTCTTTTGGGAGGTCTTGGGGTGAACCTTAGAGCACTCTTGGCACATTACAGGCTTTGAGCTCTGGCTGCCAAGAGCTCTCGAAGTCCTTGTCCTCACATGGTTCTCTGTCCCCTTTAAAGGACCTTCGGTGCAGCCAGACATCCAAATGGAGTGATTATTGGGGGCCAGGTAGGGGCTGCCATGCCCCTCGCTGCTAAGCCCATTTATGTTTCAGTGTGATCAATGAGTTGGCTTTATGCAACCAATGCCTTAATTAAGATTGATTTCAATTTCACTTCCAAAAAGAAGGGGGAATCCAGAGTCCTTAGAATGATCAGTCAGGCAAGACAACGAGAAAGGTTTCCGGGAGGATTTTCAGGCTTGGCTGCCACACCCCCTCGCCCCTCACCCCCAGGTGGAAGGATGTGGGTTTAACTGCTGAGGAACTCAGTAGCTCCTCTCCCACCTGACGGTCACTGCTGGCTGTTGTCAGTATTGGAGAGCACAGGGACAGAAAGAGGAAGATGAATGTTGGCCCAAGTAGATTCATGCCTAGGGTTGCAGGAGCAGTGGGGTGCCCTGTATTTCATGTGAACAGGAGCATCTTGAATTCCAGCTGCCACATAGGCTCTGGGTTTCTCCTCTCCCAACTTCTGGGCAAGTGTCCAGTGCCATTTCCTAATCTCCCTTTGGATTAGAGCAATAGGGATGCAAGCTTTTTTTTTAATTAAATGTACCTGTGTAGTGCAGTGCCCTCAGTGGTCAGAAGAGGGCATCAGATTCCCCTGGAACTGGAGTTACAGATGGTTGTTAGCCACCATGTGGGTACTGGGAATTGAATCTGGGTCCTCTGCAAGAGCAGTCAGTGCTCTTAACCTCTGAGCCATCTCTCCAGCCCCAAGAATGCAAGCTCATTTTAATATGAGCCCAATTCTAGAAATAAAAGTAGTACCAAAGAAAGGGGGAGGTGGCTTCCACAGTCCAGTTGGCCACACCTGTGCCTCCTACATTAGTGTATGTAATTGGGATTTTGGCCCTTTGTCTGTGTCCCGACAGGGAGAGGTGGAAGCTGCCGGCTGTCCTCCCAGAAGCTCCAGTAGACCCCTTTTATGAATCACCCTGCCCATCAACTCAGCACCATTTAGTATCTACTACAGCAGGCCCTTTCTGGGTGGCAGTATCATGTCACCTGCATGTCACTCCCACCCCAGCCCTCACTGTCCCCTGAGTAATCTACCTCCCTTCTGTTTCTCTCACACCCCTTTCCCTGTGCATTAGAAATAGATCCTAAGTGTGGGCGGCAGCACTAAAGCAAAACACACAGCACGGAGTGTGCATAGAAACAGTTCTTTAAAAATTGTTTTTTCATTTATTTATTTTGAGTGTTTTGCCTGCATGTATGTAAGTGTACCACATGCATGCAGTGCCTGCAGAGTCCAGAAGAGGACATCAGATCCCCTGGAACTGTAGTTACAGGCAGTTGTTAGCTGCCATATGGCTGCTGGGAACCTAACCTGGGTCTTCTGACAAGAGCAGAGTCAATGGTCTTAACCACCGAGCCATCTCTCCAGCCCTGATACTTCTTTTCTTGCTGGAAAATACTATCTCCAGATTTCTCTAGAGAAGGGCTCTCAGAGGAGAGGATAGTGTGGGTTTGTTGGTTGGGTCACTTTGTACTTCCAACAACCTCTTCTGCGTGCCGTTAGCATGTGGCTTCCCCCTCAGCTTCATGACGACTACCTTTGTGATGGAGGCCATGGCTGCAGCCAATGCCCAGCTCCACTGGAAGAGGATGGAAAGCCACAAGGTATGTGTAGGCTGCCCTTGTTTTCAGGTGGTGCCTCTGTTCATTTGTGCACTGAGACAATCTCAGCAGCCTGCCCTTCTCCAGGGACCTAGTCCCAAGTCCCAGGGCTGCAGCTTTAGAGCCCCGTAAAGCCCAGGGGACACACAGTTTCTTAGCATCACAGAGCCACCTGGAGCTCACTGGGTAATTCTGAACTTCTGTCCCAGGACCCGTGCTTCTAATGTGACACGATACTCTGGGGCCTTCCTGGGCAGACACCTCCTGGAGAGGAGCAAAGGAAGGGGCTCACTATTGCCCGGGGTTTCCATCGTGCTATGAGCTCATCTCTCTCCTTATCTTCTCCTCCTCATCCATCCTGCCATATCCCAGGAAGAGGAAGATGAGGACTCCTCCACAGCCTCAGACAGTGACATCCTCACCCAGGACAGCTATGAGCGGGCAGAGAAACGGCCCATCCTGTCTGTGCGTAAGTCTTGGGCTGCTGGCCAGGCTTTCCTTTGGCTCCCTCTCTCTAAAGAGAGGTTCCTGGGGAGTTTCCCTGCAGACATCCTCTGAAGTGTCCTGCCTGTGGATCAGTTCCTCAGAAGGCCCATGGAGCACAGTAAACAGAGCACAGGCCTAGGGGTCCTAAGCTCCTGACTCTGCCTCCCGTTTGCAGTTTGGAACATTGTCTGAGCTCTGTGCCTCAGTTTCCCCCACACCTTTTACTGTTATTGAAATGATCAAATGTCTGCTTGTGTGTTCCATGCACACTAGAAGCTTATGTCCTTGTGGCTCTCTGGCTTCATGTGAGTCTCTCACTTCACCCCCCACCTCACCCCCACTCATACTCTGTGATGCACCCTTACTTCACTGTCTTGTCTTCCTCTTACCCTATTAGCAGCACCCCTGAATTCTTAGACTTGAGACTGGAGAAGCAGCTCAGTAATGTGCTTCCCTCATATGCCCTGACCTCAATGCTTCATCCTCAGCAACACACACACACAAAACCTTTGAAATGCTTGAAGCAAGAAATAGTAGAAGTTTCAAACTGCTGGGCATGTGGCTCAGGAGTCGAGCACTTAATCAGCATGCATGCGGTCCTACATTCAGTACCCAGTAGTGGGGCTAGAGGGCAGATGCATGAGAAAAAACTTTCCAGGACTTTGAGAAGCTTGGAGAGTTCCTTATTCTAGAGAATTCCCCAAACTCAAGCAATGCTGTCTCCTCCCTCACTGCCTGCCTCTGTTCTGGCCCCACAGAGAGACGCGCATCTCCCAGCCTTTTTGAAATCACAGACCGGGTGGAAATGGGACAGATGGCCTCCATGTTCTTTAATAAAGGTAATGGTTATTAGGGGATAGTGCAGGGGATGGGGTGGATTGGACCTTTCAGAAAGATGTGGCCCTTGTCATGGGGGAGTCCATGTTGATGGGTGGGAGCCAAGCACCCCCCCGCCCCAGAACACTAGAGAGGCTGTTCTGCTGAGGCCTGCCCTGCTTCCTGTTGTCTTTCGGGGATTCCATTGGCATGAAGAATATAGAACTTGCTGTCCTGGTAGAGGTCAGGAGTCCTAGGTCGCTTTCCAATGAAGGAAGCCAGGGGCAGACAGTGGTAGAATCGGCCACGCACACACCTGGATGTGTCCCCTGCCGGCCAGCAGAGGGCCCTGGGAGTCCACACTAGGGTTGCCCTGTGTTGATCAAGTCCTGGAGAGCTGAGGTGCCTCGTTCCCAGTCTGCCTGTCCTGGCTGGCATTTGCTACAGCCTGCAGAGATCCATCTGAATCCAGTGTCCGCCAGGGATAGCGTTTATGCCTCTGTTCTTTTGGAAAATGAGTTGTTTTAAGAATTCAGCTTTTAATGCCCAAGCTTAACGTTGAGTGTGGAGCAGTCTCTGTAAGTCCTTACCTCACAGCTGTCCTGGAAGATTTTATACCCTATTGTCAAAGCCTTCCCATGTGCCAAGTGGGGTGCTGCCCTTTGGTTCTTACTCTTCTTGAGTGTAAGAGGGTTGATTGCAGAAATTAGAATCTTCTTGTTCTGTTTTGTTTTTTGTTTCATTTTGTTTTGTTTAGAGATAGGTTCTCCCTGTAGCCCCAGCTGGTGGCCTGAAACTCACTATGTAGACCAGGCTGACCTCAGTCTCACAGAGATCTACCTCTGCTCTCTGAGTACTGGAATTAAAGGCATATGCCACCACCGCCTGCTTTATGAGAATCTTCTTGACTTGAAACTAAGTACTAAGCACTTCTTTGGAACTCACCACTAAGCACTCAGTTTGTCATCACGGGTACAGTTTGATGGTTGGTACAGAAAAGGTGGTTATCAGTACAGGCTGACCAAGGCTTGGCTCCACCCTCCTTCCTGGACGAGCCTTGTAGAGCCAACTTGGCTGTGTTTAGCCCCACTTCTGTGCTTTTCCTTTGTTTGGTTTCCATCACTCCCCATCCACTAAGCAAGAGCTTGGGCACATTGTAAAACTGTACACGTCAGTGGCAGAGCACACACCTTTTAAACCACCTTGCCGTCTTTATGTTCTACAGTCTACCCTGGTTTCTCTTCGCGCGCGCTCGTGTGTGTGTGTGTGTGTGTGTGTGTGTGTGTGTGTGATCTTGTATACGTGTACATGTGTGTACTCATGTGTGCAGGGGCCAGAGGCTCACCTCAAGTGTCTTCTTCAGTCTGTTCCCATCTTAATTTGTGAGGCACAGTCACTGAACCTGGAGCTTACTGATTCAGCTAGGCTGGCTGGCCAGTGAGCTCCAACCCTCCACCCAACTTCATGTTCCAGCACTAGAATTACAGAAGTATGCTGTCACCCCTGACTTTATGTGGATGCTGGTGGTGTGAACTCAGGTCCTAAGCCTTGTGCAACAAATACATATTTTACCAACTAAGCCATCTTCCATGCCCTCTGCCCTGATTTCTTTAAGACTTTTACAAACTAGTGGTTGTTTTTTTCTTTTTTTTGCCCACATGGACCAGACTTTCGTTTTCCCAGGTCTAATTGAAAGCAGCAATGTGTGTGGGAGCATCCCCTCCGGGGCGGGGGGGGTGCTCAGTCTCCTCTCACGGGGCTTCTCAAGCTTGGCATCAGGCTGGTCACTCATCATGGCAGCCTGTCCTGAGCATTATAGGATGGTGAGCTAGCATCTTTGACCTTGTGGTTCTGACTGTTAAAACTCCTCAGATGCTGACACATGTCTCCTGTGAGGGGTACGCTGCAGAAGCACCCCTGCTCTGCTCTCTTCAGCAGCTCAGACTGCCAGGGTGTCCCCTCGCTTTTGGCAGAACTGCCACCGTCCACAAAAGGCTCCCTTTGCTCCCCTGCTCATTTCTTCTAATTAGAAATGCCAGGCCCAGGCACTGATGTCCTTACAGGAAGTTCATTGATCCTCCCACTTTGTGTCTAGTAATGAAATTTTATTGATCAAGGAGGGTTGATGGTAGTTTATACAGCTAGCACTGTAGCCATTGGCAGGTGGTGGAAAGAGGGTTGGGGAGGAGGTGATGCCTCCCCCAGAGAGCATTGGTGTGAGCAAAGAAAGGCAAGCTGGAGCAGGCTGGACCTAGAGCCTGGGGTCATGAATGACAGACAGCCCCAGGAGCCCCAAGCTTGGACATCGAGGCCAATTCCAACCTGTCAGGGAAGGATATGCCGACTCGCATGTTTAAAACTCAGGTGCCAGGCTCTCATGGGTTCTTCAGAAGACTGTCTTTTTCTGGTCATTTTTCTCCAGATTCCTGGGAGCAGAGCTGACCTCACATAGCCCAGGAGTAACATGTCCTCAGCTTTCCCCCGGGGTCCTGTAGGCTCTTCTGAGCCACCAGGATTACAAGGGAAGTGTCACTTTTTCTTCTTTTCTCAGAGAAGCCAGCAGCTTGATGCCTGTGACATCAAGACCTGGAGCAATTAGTTGAAACAGTGTGTGGCTGGCTACTTGGGACCGTAACCCTTAGATTGTCCAGCCCCAGCTGGCACCTCCCAAGCTTAGGCCTGGCCTTTTTTTTTTAAGTAATTTTTATTCTTTTAAATGTTTTTGAATTACTTTTGGGGGGGGGTCTTTTTGAGACAGGGTCTCCCTGTAGCCCCAGCTGTCCTGGAACTCATTATGTAGACCAGACTGGCCTTGAACTCACAGAGATCTGTCTGCCTCTGCCTCCCAAGTGCTGGGATTAAAGTCGTGTGCCACCACGCCCAGCCGAATTATTTTTATGTGTATGAGTGTTTTGCTTGCATCTATATAAGTGTACCTATGTCTTGCAGTGCCCATGGAGGCCAGAAGAGGGCGTAGGATCCCCTGGAACTGAAGTTACAGACAGTTGTTAGGCACTATCTAGATGTGGGTGCTAGGAAGCGAACTGTGGTCCTCTGCAAGAGCAGTATTAAGTATTCTTCGCCACTGAGCCATCTCTCCAGCCTCTTCCTGGTCTTTATAGCTGATACATGGAAGATAGCACAGGCAGAATTCTTCTTACTGTGCAAGATAAGTTATGTTCAGGGACGTGTCAGGGCTGGAAAACCAGCCTGATGGAACCAGGGCAGGATCCTGACTTTGTGGTTCAGGCTTAAAGTTTGCCCCTGCCCAGGAGCCTCATGCCAAGTGCCTTCCACATCAGCACTGATCCTTGCCTATGCTTCTTGCAAGAAGGAAAGGGAAACCTTTGGTTTTTGTTTTCACATTTGTAGTTATTTTGTTGTATGCATGTGTGTGGGCATGTGCATGCCGTGGCACAGAGGTGGAGGTCGGGGGATCACCAGCCACGGTTGGCTTTCTCCTTCCATCATGTAGGTTCCAGGATTCGAACTCAGGTTGTCTGGGATGGTGGCAAGTTCCCTTACCTTCTGAGCCATTTCTCAAGTACTACCTGTCTAGATTTGAAACCTCTCTGATCTCCCAAGCCTTGCCGAGCTCTCTCAGGCACAAGCCCCAAACTGATGCATCTCCTGCCAGCCTCACAGTGTAGCCAACCAGAATAAGAAACAGGACTTTGGGGTCATTTTTTCCACTTTTTGTAGAAAGCAAATGGCTTGGAGAACTGAGAGCTACGGAAGCAGTAAAGAAAGAATTGGTCGTCAAAAAAGAACGCAAATGCATCTGTCTCTGGCTCCCTGACCGATGGCTTTGTTGCTTTCAGTGGGGGTCAACTTGTTCTATTTCTGCATCATCGTTTACCTGTACGGAGACCTCGCCATCTATGCCGCAGCTGTGCCCTTCTCCCTCATGCAGGTGACCTGGTGAGTAGCCCCTCATCTCCTGCCCCCATACTGCCCTGGCTGCAGACCCACAGGCTTCCTTCACTATTCAGGGCAGAGGGTTTGTCAGAGAAGCACAGCAAAGCAAGTTCATGGCCTAAGAACCATCATGCCTAAGGCCTTTTGCACACAAGAGACCCGCTTTGCACTGTGCTGCCCCCTTCCCTGCTCCATTGGGAAGATGGCTTGGATCCTCGGGCTTCTAAATCATCAGAAAATTGTGCTACATAAACAAATGGGTCCTATCTTAGAAGGTTTGTGAAAAGTCAACCTGTGGGAAGTACAACCTGTGGTTGGGTAGGTCAGTCTCTTCCCACCTAAGTAGGGGTCCACGCTGAGACCAGGCTTGCCGTTGTTGTCTTCAGCAGTGCCTCTGGCAATGACTCCTGTGGTGTGGACACTGACACCAAATACAATGACACGGACCAGTGCTGGGGGCCCCTGCGCCGGGTGGACGCCTACCGCATCTACCTGGTGAGTGTCTTCTCCCTGCCTGGGGTGCACCGGGCCAGCTCGAGTGACTGAGTGTTTGAACCACTTTCTTTTCTGGCTGAGCCCTCTCCCCACCAAGGAGTCCTGCACACTGTCAGACGTGGCTGGGAACTGGCACCCGGGTTCAGGGCTGCAGACTGCTATGAACTTAGTGCATGGTTTGAGGAGTACTCTGCGGTACTTTCATGTTCCACGTCTTAGCCAGCTAGCAGACACAAGCAAGTGCTGGATCTCCTGACTGAATAGACAAGACTGATCCATCTTGCAGTTGACCCTGACCATAGACAGCCTCTGCAGACAGGGAGAGCTCAGCCCAGCCCGTTTCCTGTCTTCCCCGTGTCTCCCCATGGACTAGGGAAGAAGATGAATCTCCTGCCTTCCTCTTGATTGCTTCGAGCCATGGTGTGGTGGGGGTGGAGCTGACTAATACTTAGATAATAGGAGGGCACACCGCCTGAGGCAGTGATTTATCTCTGCCTGCTTGGGGGTGGGGCTCCGAAATGCTGCCCTCCGGCTCTTTCAGCAGCATCTGCAGATGCTCTCTGCCTCCTCTTGGTCCTCAGCCCTGGCACAGATTCAGGAGATTCAGGTGTGCTGGGTGCCACACAGTCCAAGCCATGGTTACTTAGCTGATATGAAGGGAAGGCAGGGCCAAGAGAAAGCAGAGCTCTTGACTTGAGCCATCCCTGTCCTGGCTCAGGGTTCCATGGGCCTGCCAGTATGTTGTTGGGGTCTGAACTTGTTAATCCTAAAGACTTGAATAGGTCTTCCTGGCCGTGTAGGTTCCTGAAGGACCTTGCAGCATAGGCCTTAGATGTTTCCTGTCTGCACGTCGGCAGCGGTCACTCACTCCATGGTCTGTTTCTTTTCTTGTGCATGAAGCCATGGCCAGGACTTCGTGTTCTTGTAGAATTGTATCTTTGATCCCTTCTATCACAGGTTGATTGGGAATTTATTTTAATATTATTTTTATTTTATGTATATGAGTATCGTACCTACGTGTATGTGAGTGTACCAGTTTTCTGACAAAGCCCACAGAGGTCAGAAGAGGATGTCACATCCCCTGGAACTGGAGTTATGGATGATTGTGGGTACTGGGATTCCAACCTAGGTCCTCTGAGAGAGCAGTCAGTACTCTTAACCACTGAGCCATCTCTCCAGCTCCTTTAATGGGAATTTGATAGCAAGTTAAGTTAGTTGTCTGATGCGCGGGTCCACTGCCATAGCCTTGGGGTTGGACATAGGAACCAGCTTGGCAGCCAGGAGGCCAAGGCAGTAGAGGTCCAGCTGAGGCCTTGTTAGCCTCTTAGCATTTCAATACACCATGATTAATAAAAGCAGCAAAGGTATTCATTGGGTAAGGTCCCTCTGAATCTGTCCTCCTGTGTGGTGAGCAGGAGAACGAGGAAGGGATCTGGGTGCTCCAGGGAGGAGCAGCTGTTCTGCGCTGCTTGGATGGATCCTGACTAGGGGAGGCCAGCATATCCCCCCAGCACAATGGATGCTGTGAGTATTGGCTGCTGCCATTTGCTTGGTAAATTATTCAGAAGCATTGTTATTGCCATGTTAAGTTGTTCACGCTTTCCTATAAACCTTCCACATGATGGAAGCCTCCCTCCCTGAGTCTCAATAACTCCAACTGAACAGAAGGAACCCCTCAGGAAAGCAGACGGGCATTAATTACTGCCGTCATCTCCCAGATATTACACTTATAACTCATGGAGCTAATTGTCCTAGTGCCTGCGAGCTCCCCAGACCCAGGAGGCCGAGCCGTTAGAGTAGGAGGGAGAGACTAGTGGACCCCCAGGAGCCTGCTCTCTGGATGGTAGGCATCATTCTCCAAGCCCCGGTCCACTGCAGAGCTCCCCTTTGCCCAGAGCCTTCACTTTGCCTGTACCCTACCCAGTTCACAGGACTTGAGGCAGACAGTCTGGGGCATTGTCTCTGAAGTTGCTTTGCTTCTTTTCATGTAGCTCCCAGGGTCTAAGGTCCTGTAGAGCAGCAGAACCTCCTGGTGCCAAGTGCGGGGCCTCTTGTCTGCAGACCTCCCACTCCCCTGGGGAACCAGTAAAAAGGTAGCAAAGATGCGATGTACTTTCTCAGACCCAAGTCCTCTTGCAGGCAATAGGGCATCTTACCCTCCTGAGTCAGGGGAGCTGGACTCCAGCTGGTGACCTCTTCAGATTCCGAAAAGAAGGTCACTGTGCACTGACTTGGTTGGCCCCTCCTTGTTCACATTCAGGCGGCCTGTCCTTTCTAGAGACTCCAGCATGGCTCTCTCCACTGGCTGGTTCTGATTTTGCTGCCAGTCACACTCCACCCAAAATGTTCAGCAGGCCAACAAGCAGGTAGGGGTGGATTGAAAGCACCCTCCACCCCATGCACACATCATCTGTCTGTCTCAGGCAAATGATGCCTTCCCCAGCCTGCGTCTTTGAAAGGACTTAATAATATCTGAGTCTTCATTGCTATTCTAGGGCAGTATGTTCTGCAGGATAAAGATACAAGCTTTCATATTGTATCTTAATTTTCAGAAAGTCCTCTGGAAACCAGCTCGGGAAAGCTCCTGAGAAGCAGGCAGAGAATGAGAATAAGAAGGATGTTAGCCATCTCTGAGGCTGGCCTATGGGTGCTTTATGTTCAAAGAGGGAGCTTTCTCTACCCTTTCGCTTCTCAAAGCCTTTTACCTCAACAGATGGAAAACTCCTCCCCCTCCTGGTGCCCAGTGGTAATCCCTGACCACATCCCATTGAGTCCCTGTGCAGCTGATATGAGTCAGTTTCTCCTCCTTCCCCATGTTGGCCCTGGAGCAGGGTCTCTGAATGCTTCACATGTATTCTTGGGTATTTTGGCATGCTGTCACAGCTAGAGCCAGTAGCGACCTGGGGACTGTCCTTAGGGCCCGTGGGAGTTAACAGGCTCTGCTTCAGTTGGCTGTGGATTCTCAGGCCCCTTCCCCTGCTCCTTTGAAAGATAAAATGGGAAAGTATCAGATGTTCTGACTCTTTCAGAGGAATGACCTTTCCTCTGGACTAGAACGTGTCCTAGGGCTGGCTTTGAGAGGGAACAAAGTGAGAGTGTGGCAGGGGCTGGGAAGAGGGAGTGGTGGAGTTGGGGAGATAGCTTAGTGAGTCAAGTGAGGATCTGAGTTCTGCTTCTAGCACCCACCCAAAAGCCAACATGGGGGAGCACATCTGTAACCCCAGCACAGGTGTGCAGGGCTAGGAGTGCAGAAGAGTCCCAGTGGCTCATAGCCAGTCTAGTCAAAGTGATGCGTTCCAAGTGAGGGACCCTGTCTCAAAATAAGGCAGAGAGAGGCTGCAGAGCTGGCTTAGGGGTTAAGGACACTTGCTGTTCTTCCAGAGGACTCAGGTTTGATTCCCAGCACCCTCATGGTACTTGTCACCCTCTTCTGGCCTTCTCGGGCACTGCATACATACTAGGTATATATACAGACAAACAAATAAAAATAGAGAAATCATTGAAAGGCAGAAAATGATAGAGGAAAACACCTGACATGCACACATACAGGTGGGTGCACGAGCACATGCATATAACATTAGCAGGTACGCGCGCGTGCGCACACACACATGTACACACACATACACACACACCAAGAAAAAAATTGTGGCATTTCAGCCCTATGCCTCAGTGTCAAGGAGACAGTTACCCCAGTGAAGTGATCGGATTGTGTGTCTGGGTTCTGTCCCGAGCCTGGGAACTGGGCAGCTCTCCCCCAGGGCAGCCACTGTAGCATTTATATGTACCTCCTTGGTCCTACAGCACCTCCAGCCTGCCTCCTGGATCCCATCCAACACTATCCCTCCTCCCAGAGGCTGTCAGAGGGAAGGGGGCAGTGGGGACTCCCTGAGAGCTGAAAGCTTCTTGTTGTTCAGAAACTGGGCAGCATCCGCCCACTTACAGGTGGGCAGATGCAGCTGGGTCACAGGCAACCCAGCAGAGCTGGAGCGCAAATGACAGAGCGAAGCTTAGCCTGGCTGGAGACATGGCCACAAACTGGCCATATTGAACAGGGGGCCTTTGTTGGTTGCCCTGGGACAGGACAAGGTCATCCTGTTTTGCTCTCAGGAGTTGAGAGAGCCACTTCTGGAGCACAGGTGCTCAGAAGAGATACAGCTCATTTATGACCTGCAGGTATCCTGTCTCCCTCTGTGGGTGCATCTTCCCCAGCTTGCTCCAAATAACCCTTGAAGAAGGGATGGGGTACAGAAGAGCACTGCCTGCCAGCTTCTTCCTCAAAGAGCAGGCCACGCTGCCATTCAGTTCAGGTTGAATGAGGGGCTTCTGTCCCTTCACCAGGAGCCCTGTGTACTCTCTGCCCTGACACAGTGTTTTCTGATTCTCCCTGTGCTAGGACACTGGCCTTTGCTCATCTCACCTTAGTGTGGTATGGTCTGATGGTAGTTGTTGTTGCTCAGGGTTTGTTTTGTTTAGGAGATAGGGTCTCTTGTAGTCCAGGCTGACCTTGAACTCACTATATAGCCAAAGCTGATCTTCAACTCCTTCCAAGTACTGGGATTACAGGAGTGCTCCATCACACCTGACACAGGCATGGCATGTTACCAGTGGCTTCTGCTTGTCTGATTTAGGCCTCCCAGTCACACCGTAAAGTACACACTGTCATCCTGTTTTATAGTGAGGAAAACTAAGACTTAGGAGACAGTAACTTCCCCAGGGTCCCCAAACTTAAGCAGAGGGCACAGCCTTGTAGATTCTCCTAAAGTCCCTTATCTTGCTAACACACATTTGTTCTCTTTGTTCAAGACTCAAGTCCAAGTGCTCTGCTGGCAGAGCGGCCCTGGCTGTGCTACACAGGTTGGGGGACACCTTTTTGCCATTTCCATAGCATGACATCTGCCCATACTGTATCTCCTTTGCCTATGCCTCCCATCGATTTTGAGGCCCTGTCTCTCGTTGCCTTTTGTTCCCAAGGAGCCAAGTGGACTTCCCAGAACCTTCCA